GTTTTTTACGTGTAACAAATAGTTTTTTACACGTAAAAAATATATTTTTTTGCGTAAGGAAGTTTTTCTACCAGAAACAATAAATTTTTGACGCGTAAAAAAATAGTTTTTTACGTGTAACAAATATATTTTTACACGTAACAAATAGTTTTATATGCGTAAAAAATAGTTTACTGCGTGTAACAGTTTTATTCGCGTAAAATAATAAAAATAGTTTTTTACGTGTAACAAATTTTTTTTACATGTAATTTTGATTCACTTTTACAAAATTTGTATTATATTTTTGATAAACACGTGTACTGATCACAAATACATGTCGCGTCACTACGTATTTCTAAGCCGTTAACACGTTTCGTTACAACGAGCTCGTGTGTCAAGGCCGTCTCACTAGCTCGTATGTCACGGCCTTGAATTTTTACTCCCAGAGCACGTAAAGAAGTTTTACTCCAAAATGTTTCATAAATCATGTCCTAAAATTGCATTAGCAACTAGAAATATTTACTATTCTATTATATAATTATAATTATTTATTATACCGCATGTTCGAGAAAAAACGGCGTCAGCGATGGCTATGGAATGAAGATCGCTGTCATTTTATATGTAAATTTATATGGGAAATGTCATCGATGTTCATTTCCCAGCCAACTGGACGCCATTTTTTTTCGATCATACGGTATTATATTATAATTATGACAAGTACTAACCACAACACTACAATATAAAAAAACTATACACATATAAACTAAAATTCGTAATATAAATGGTAAATAATAATTAATATTTTTACACACACCACTGGCACTAACAGTATATTGTGTTTGTCTACGAATATATGCCCCGGCCCGTCCACAATTCAATCCCAGCATCTTTTATCTTCGTCTTTTCAATGCTAACGGCGCCGATCTCGCCTATCTCTTTCTCACAGGACTGATTGTTGGACGGGCCGGGAATCCACGAGCTTGCGACGTTACTAATTGACATCTTGATAGAAGCTGCAAACCTGCCGCGTCTTTTGCGTATTTTTAATGGACACAAATCGATAAAAACTCTTAAAACGGTAAAATCGCAAAAATCGCTTGAGACGCAAATAACTCAAAACGCTAAAAACGCTTTCTGTGTGGCCGTGGGCTAAGATTATTATTAGTCATCGGATCCACTAAATGTGGGCAAAAATAGGCATCTACCTACTGCTTAAAATAAATTTAACCTAAATATCTTGGTACTCTCTAGAGGTCCCTTAAAACTCTATTGTCACCGATAACAAAACCGACCGTACTAAAGCGTTGGAGCTTTCAAATGTAAATCACAAAAAGAGCGACAACATTGCAAATTATGTCTCTCCAGGGACGACCCAAAGAGTAATTACCTGGTAATTTGCTAACGGCGAACATAAATTAAACAGAATGGGTAAAGTAAAGAGAAAACAGTCCAATTTAACGCTATTGTTAAGATGTCTGTTAATTTTTTTTATCTGTAGAAAATTTTATATTTTAATCATAAAAATTATTTGACCTTTGAAGAATTAATAGGTGTATTACTCATTTTTTTCGATCATTCGAAACATTCAGTACCAATAAAACAATTTTTGTTTTTGTTGTTTTTGGGTCTGGCAACAGTACGTCAGGCATCTGTAGCTTATAGCTGTAGAATAAAAAACTTGGAAATTTTGTTTAAATGCTAACCTAAAGTATGTACAGGGTGTCCCACTAAGAATAGCTCTCGGCTGTATCTCGGAAAGTATTAGTCGTAGAGCCTACGGTGAAATATTTATAACTAAAGGGGCTATGAGAAATTGCTGGAAATTATTTTCAAGTTTATAAAACGGCCGCTAGGGGCGGAACAGCTATGGACAATAAGAAAATAGAATTTTTACAGAGTTTTGTCTAGATAATGGGTACTATAAATAATAGCTTCATAATCTTTAGTAAATTTTGGATTTTTTTTGTTAGAACCATTTTCCCATATCTGCTTTCACAATAACGTACCAATATTTATATAATGCATAATTATTTTATTTTTTTCAAAAAAAATCATTAATATTATTACAGTCGTGTTAGTTTACGACTACTTTATTCTTTTATAGTTTAATAATACATCGTTTTTTTTAATATAATTGCAATTTACTATTGTCATGCCAATAATTCATAATTTGGGTAATATTTTTAACTTGCAATTGAGTGCTAACTAATTAGTATATCCTGCAGAAATTCTGTAACGCCAGTGGTGAGTGCCAAATAAACGAAAAACAATAAAGAAATCTGGTCTGGATAGCCACAACGTCAGAAAACGGGGTCCTGTTGCATCCCCACTCCTCTTCCCTATGACGCATTCATTGATGACGCCGCACAGTGTAACGAAATCGGGAAATGCGGGACATTAGCCCAAAAAACCCAAAAATTAATTCAAGTTTTTTTATATATATGGATAAAGGACATCCCAGAGCCCCACTATGTGAGATTTTCTTGAGTTGACCTCTTAGTCGGGGAGTTATGGCGGGTTAAAGTTATGGTTTCCTTAATTTACCAAATCTGTACAAAAATTTCATACAATAAAATTTATTATTTTCAGAAGTTTCCTTGTGTTGTTCAATTCCAACAATTTTTTCCATAAAGAGAGGTCTTTTACCAACAACAAACCTGAAAAAAATATCCCAATTTTTTTCAAGTTTAGTTTCTACATGTTTATTATGACTTTCAAAAAAACGCTTACATTCGCGCAAGGTTATATATACAAAATATCATAGAGTGAACGTTCTAGTATACTGTTACATATAAATTTCATCCACCTAGATCCGAACCTGGAAGAAAAAAATAAATTTCTTCGGCAATAATTACGTTTTCCATTGATTCGACCGTAGTTTTTATCCGTAATTTTTTGTGCTATAATATCTTTATTGAAAAAGCTATACGCTTGCTATGAACATACTGAATGCTATTTTAGAGGCGAGGAACCATCCTCACATTGGGGTGGGGGACAGTTTACAACAATTCAGAAAATCTCAACATTGGAGAAAAATTACTCAAGAGAATATTTTTTCAAACCGGCAAAATTTTCTTCGATGTATTTAACACTCCACCCTCAATGCTGCATCATTGTTGGTGCCAAACTATTGAAGATATATTGCATAACTTATTGATATATTCAGATCCTCTACTTTCACATCTGCGACCAAAGCACTCTAAAAATAAAAAAGTAGACTTGTTTCCGGAAGCGAAAGAGCTCATGTATATGGATGGAGAAGAAATTGAGAATGATTTTTAAGCATGTTTTATGTAAGTGCATATTATGTTATTTTGGAATAATATACACCCCACATAAATTATCGCATCACTTATTAATTTGGAAAACTGCAAAGTATTCTTAAATTCTCTTGGTGAACATTAATCTCAAAAGTTATTTGCATTAATAGCAACTTGTTAAGGAATGGAAAGTATATCATAACTCAGGCAGACCTTAGATTTCAGTTTTTCACATAAAAATGTTTGAAGCGTTTCAAGAATAAATACTACGAAAAATATAAGTGTTGCGAATTTTTTTGTGAGGTGTTTATTATGGTTTCCTTTGTTGAAGTTGAATACGTTTTTTTCGCATATTATCATATTATTTAATACTGTTAAATGATTTGCCACTTGTGTCGTTCTCTTTGAGTTTTGCGGTCTTATCTAATTTATCCCTGATTATTTGAATATTTAAGAATGTTGATTGAGTTTTGACATATTAGCGGGAGATAAATTATTGTTCGACAGTCATTTGATAACGTTTTTGGTCCATAAGAGCTATAAACTTTTCGTAAATAAAAAAAATATACCTGTAAAGTCCTTTTATAAAACTTCGTATTTTTTTTGACCTTCCATTACTCCTTTTTTTACTCTTTTCGTCCTGTAGCAAAAATTCCTAGTCGTATTATTTAATTTCTGTCAAAAAATGTCAGCAAGAATAGTGATAACTGAAGAAAAATGCCAATGTCCCACTATTTTAGTTTTCGTTACACTGTGCGCCGCGCGCCCGCCCGCCTTATTCCATAATTTGTTGTGTTCTTTGTATCTCAAAATCATGATACATGCCTTAAGATTAATATCAAGTAAATCATTTGTGATTTATCTATTTGTGTGCAGTGTAATTTGGATCATTTTAAGTAAAGGTGAACTGGTAAGTACTTTATTTCAACAACTTTTAAATGTAGACTAGTAGATATTTCCTGTAAGAGGCATCCTAACCTAAACATTTATTCAACTACCAGACAATTTAGAAGTAAATAAAAACCTAAAATAACAGCCGTATCCTATCAATTCTCACTTGGATTGTGAAAACTGTTGAAATAAACCTGATGTTTAATTAATGTCAATATTTTTCATATTTTTACATAGGTAAATGGAAACGTTGGGCCAATATTGGCTAAATATAGAAAATATAGAATCAAGTTCTGGAGCATTTTAAAATCGCGCGGTTCCACGTTTATACATTTGATCATTTAATATTTAGACCATATTAGATGTAAATAATTATTTATATAATTTAATAACAATTATAATTAAGAAACGTCCCAACCTAAACATATTTAATACATTATCACTGAACTACAAAAAAGAGATTTTACCCCAAGCAAAAGGAAATCTTTATTTCAAGAAAATTTAAGTATCAAAAAACATAAAGTATGTTGTATGGCTGAATCAACATCGGTTTTGAACAATGGTCAAAGTGAATTAGACACAAGTCCCTTTGAGCCGTCAGTAGCTTTAACAGGTAACATATATTGATGAAGATCACTTATATTTGGTAGAAATACCTACTTGAAGGTAAAGATAACTAGGTAAAGATATACCTACCTAGGTAAAGATAACTTGGGCGTTTGATGTATATTTTTAGCTTCTGAGATTATTGATGTTAAAAGAAATAAAAAAGTTGAATTGGGAAATACAGGATATGAAAAAAAACAGTAAACAAGATTCAGGACCTGTTGCTCACAATTAACATGATTAATATTAAGTTCTAGTGAAGAACCTTTTCAACTACCAATTGACAACCAGGCTTTACTAGAATCTATAGAGCAGCATTTATATAGAAGATGAGAAAAATATTGAGCTTTTGGTAATTATAATTATTTGCAGATTATACTCAGATACTATATGAGAAACAAAATGTAAAGCTTATCGAATTGTTTATTTTAGGCTCAACGATTATACCTTTGTGGAGGGGACAATACCCACAAATCTGTTTTTTTATTAATGAAAAAACTGTTTGCCAGAGATGTAGCAATGCTCTATTCTGGATCAGGAAAGAAGGGAAAATTATCATTTCAGAAGTTGTCATGTTATAAGTATAAATTTTAAATTGTTTTGATAATAAATTGCAATTAACAAAATTTTGCTTTGTGTTTCATAGAAGCTGTTCGTTTTCCAGGCGCCACGGATGCAGATATTAACAAATTCATATCTTTGTATTTGGCAGGAGCAGCAGGCAGGGACGGAGGACGTAAAAACAGAAATGCCTAATATATATATATATATATATATATATATATATATATATATATATATATATATATATATATATATCACAACCGAAAAATATTTTTCGTTTTATTTATTAATTATCAGGATAACAGTTTATTTTTCATTGTTTTATTTTATATAGCAATATATTATGTTTTTATTGATGTAACGTTTTATTGAATCTTTCCCTAATATCTACTTCCCGAATCTATACAACATATTGGTTACAAAGAAGTGCAGATTTTTTTAATATTTCTTTTATTTTTAAAACATATTATATAATATACATATATCATTCTCATTCGAAAATAATGTTCCACTGTATATATAAAACATACAATAACTTGCATAAAATGCATTGACTTTTCGAACTATCTTGATATTTTGATATCAAGTGACAATAAAAAGTTTCCAGGGAGTTTCCTATTCCGAATCTTAATTATGTGGTATGTACATAGATTCAATGTACAGACTAAATATTGGTTCAAGATTTGCAAAACAAAATGGAAAAATATATGTAAATTATGTTGGACCATTATTGAAAAAACACATTATGTCTATAAATACAGTAAATATAGGATAAATATTAAATACCCATATTGGATCAATATCGATTTTTTAACAAAGGATCTTTCAGTAAATGTTCAGATACATGAATTAATAATAGCTCAAGTATAAGTTCAACTCATAGGCGTCAGACCTACACAATATATATGTTTTATATATACTTGTAATATTTTTAAGTCCTTATATTTCTCATGCATGTTTTCTTTTTTCTTTTACAACTATTTGTTTGTTTATATATGCTTATCTCTGTGTATGTTTATAGAATGTATTCACATATCCTGTATTTGTGCTTCTCATACGAAATATATATATATATATATATATATAACAAACGATAAATATATGAATGCTATATTTTACCATTAAAAAAATTCTCGCCTTTTCTTTATTGGACTAATATGTAAATATATTATTTTACCAATAATGGTGTGCTACTGAGAAAGGTTTTGAACGTAGACGCTATAGGGGACGCTTTCTTACAATTTAACAAACATAGTGCGTTCTTTCAAAAAAATTAAATATGATAGTATATGTAATTTCAGCTTTGAGCTCAGCTGTTCAAAAGTGTGAGTGAATCAGAATGATTTTTTTTAAATGGAACACCCTGTATATTATTACATTTTTAGCTTCCTTTCTGATCACTTTACATAATCTTAAGATCTTTTTAAATAAGTTTTTATAGTTTTAGAGATATTAATAAATAAATATATATAAAAATATATTTTCAGCCCTTTTTTTAAAAAAAAAAAATAAAAATACAAGAACTGTCCTGAAATCAAAACAATATTAGGTGTTTAATTAGATGGCCTGTACGTACTTTGCTATAAATATCGTAATCTTAAATCATAGAGAGTGTTCAAAATTCTACGCCAAACTCTCTAAAATATAAAATATTTTTTCTTCGTTGTTTAAAAGTTTACTATGGAAAATGCCATATGAAATATAAAACCGCGAATATTTGCGAAACCGTTAAAAATTTTGAATTACTCTAAATACAAAAAAATGTTTATTTTTTAATTCTCTATTTACTAAAAAATAATATACAGGGTGTTCCGTTTAAAAAAAACGAAGGATATTTATTTTATATTTTAGAAAGTTTGGCGTAGAATTTTGAACATCCTGTATGATCTAAGTTTACGATATTTATAGCAAAGTAAGTACAGACTATCTAACGTAAATACATAATATAGTTTTGACTTAAGGACAGTTCTTGTATTTTTAATAATATTTTTAAGAAAGGCTGAAAAATATATATTTTTTGTTTATTTATTAATAACTCTGAAACTATCGAAATATATCTACTCATATCTTAGGATTATAATGTAAAGTGATCTGAAAGGAAGCCAAAAATGTAATAATATACAAGGGGTTCCGTTTAAAAAAAATCATCCCGACCCACTAACACTTTTTTGAGCCACCCTGTAGAAGTTAAAATATTTTCTTAAAATACATCCTAGAACATAGTTTAGGTTAGCAATTAAACAAAATTTCCAAGTTTTTATTCTAAAAGCTACAGATGTCCGACGCACTATTGCCGGATCCTGTATATTTAATACGAATAAATTTTCAATTCATAAACGCAGATTTTTCATCCAAAGATATTTTCGTCAAACCTATTACAGACATTTTAATACGGAAACACTGTCGCTTTCAGTTCCACATCGTCTTCGATATGTCTTCGCTAGCAGAATTAGGGAAAATGTTTTATGCGTTGGCTGCAGATCGAGTAGAGACTCTACCGTACAGCACTTGTGACGTAAAGGGAAATAAAATCAGCCTTGTCACGAATTTACCCATTAGGTTGCATATCTTTCCAATTGTCCCTGTTGTGAATTTGTCATAAAATCGACGCCGCAACTGCAAGCTCTTAATTAAGTTAAAATAATACAAAAGAACAAAGGCCGGGGTTTTCAGGAAAATTGTTCCGATAAATCGAATTCCTTCATTATTTTAATTACGCCCCGAGCCAATCGCCGGCTTGATCGTTTTAAATTTTAAAAGCGCTATGGCACATCCTGTCGATATTTCTTCGTTAGAACGGCAAACCAGATGCCCGCGGCCTTAATAATACGGCCAATTTCCTGTAGGTTGCCTCGTTTTGGAAGTTTTCTCTTCCTGCTTTGATTAAAGGCTTTTTTTGGGAGCGGGGATGCAATACGTAATCGAAATTGGGCGTTCTCGTTCGCATTAATTTTTATTTGATTTCAGTGGCGTTTCTTCAATAAGGACACGTGTAGTACGGAGTGGTTAAAATTGGTCTGTTTTATCAGAGAAAACCAATTTCCTGACTAGATAAATCAAAACTGATATATAGATTCTCGACTCGATTTCTGGGACATTTCATCGTTTTCGATATTTTTAGGATTTTTAGATTTTGCAAATTTTTGACTTTGGATAGATTTCTACAACACTCTGTACAATATTAAGAAGTAAAAAAAATACGTTAATGAGCACCACCTATGCACTATCCAACAATGTATAACTAATTACAGACAAATGAAGGATATGTGAGCTATTTTTAAAAATGGGCAAAAAAGGAAAATTTCCAAAAAAATTTGAGGCCAAAATTGAACTTTGAGAACACAAGGTTTGGGACCTAATTTTGATTTGGCAAATCTTCCTCTCACGGAAGACTCCAGTAATCAACACGTTTTTAGAGTATATTTACAGGTACAAGGAGAGAAAGGAAACGAGTTAAATCCACTTGTGTGGGGGTGGTTTACCAGTGGCAATGAGCTTTTCCCAGTGACTTACATCAAACCTCCAGGGCCCTAACACCTATAATGGCAACTTTTCTTTGCAAATGCAAAGATCTTCACACAGCAAACTGTGTTTGTGCTTTTTATAATCGGAAATGCAGCATTTTGAGTAAAAAATACAATCAAGCCTGTCTAAATACACTCAGAGTCGATTATGAAGAAGTGGAAATAGATGATGGTGACGTGTAAATACAAATGTGAAAAAGTTATTATTATGTATTTGTAGTTAAAAGCTATTAAAAGTTGAATTTATACTTTTCTGTTGAATAAAAAGAATTTCAGTGTTTATTATTATCTATTATTAAGAATAACAATTTTTTCTTTTTTTTAAAATTTATTTTTAGTTTTTTTTATTCATATGTTTAACCTAAAGCCAAAGGCAACTATTTTTATTTTATGTCAATCGAGCAAAAAATAAAGTATTTTTACATCCTGCATAAGTTTTATTTTTGTTTGTATCCTTAAGGATACACTATACACTATATTTATCTCCCGCACTACTCAACCTATCATAAACTCAAGGACTTGAGTTCAAAATCAGAACTGATCAAAATCAGAACAAAAGAGCGCATATTCTTTAACCTTTTTTGCTACGGACTACGGTTCAAAAAAAATTGAAGAAGAGCAAGTCGATTTCTTTTATTATTTTCTCTTTTTTTAATTTTGACAGAAAAACAACCTGTCAAAATAGTTTTGTATTTTTATTTCATTCTTTAGCCGAAAACAAAGGTAATGATTTTTACTTGACGAAAATCGGTTAATAAATAAGAAAGGTACGATTTTTTTAAAGAATAGGATCAGACGCCATCTTTAATTCAACATGGCAGAGGAAGCAAGCGCTCTAGGAGGTATAACTTTTTTTTACAGAGTACTGTTAATGAGTACTATCATCTGTGAAAAAATCAGCTTCATTGCAAAAACTTCCCCTATTTTTGCTAACTGCCCTGGCGTATATACGCATCTCTCTACACGTAACGCAGAAACCTACGTTACGTCTGCCGTTGCGTTGTCGTGTAAACAAGAGTTAAAGCAAGTATTTTGACGTACGTAACGCAAATGGTACATTTGTAATTCTAAATTATTTTGTGAAACAATTTATTTAATTTTAAAACTGGAAATGGATATCTATTATTCCATTGATTCCACATTAAATTTGTAAAAGTAATTATCGAAAAATGAAGAAAATTATAAATGGAAATTATTTTATTACAGAAAGTAGTCCTTACAACTTAAAATGCTCTTAGTAATAAAACATATTGGAAAACAGACAGAGTTTTATGATTATTTATTTATTAGATTCCATCTTTTAGAATGCTCATATGGATTTTGACTAGCATTTAATTAAATAGATTACAAAATGAGTTTATTATGATGCTTAATACTTTATTCATACTAATTTATTGTAATAAAATAGGCCCAGTCCTGTTACACTGGCCCCAAAATTTATGAAATAACTTAATTACTAGTCAGTAGCCAGTTGTGGAAACGAGTTGTTTGTGAATTTGTACATTCGGCATCATTCGGGTGAAAATCGAAACTCCTTCGGCTCGATACGTTTGCGTTTTGTACGTACATAAAGGCACGTAAGATACGTATCACGTATCCGTAAACGCA